GATGGGGGGAATACTAGAAGCTCAGTTTTGGAAAGGTTGAGTTTGAGGAAGTGTGGAGTGACATCCAGTCCGATATGTCACTTAGTAGGCTGGTTATGCGATTAAAGACTGAGGGGGTGAGGGGTAGAGAGATAGATTTGTGTGTCATCGGCATAGAGATGGTAGTTGAAGCCGTGGGAGTTTATCAGTTGGCCAAGGGAGGAAGTGTAGATGGAGAAGAGGAGGGGTTCGAGGACAGAGCCTTGAGGGACCCCGACAGAGAGAGGGAGTGAAGGGGAGGTGGCAGCGTTATAGGTAACACTGAAGGAGCGCTGCTATAGATAGAGGAGAACCAGGAGAGAGCGGAGTCTCTGAGGCCAAGAGAGTGCAGTTTTTTGAGGAGGGGGTGGTCAACCATGTCAAAAGCCGCAGAGAGGTCAAGTAGTAGGAGTATAGTATAGAGGCCATTGGTTTTGACAGTTCGTAGGTCATTGGTGAGTTTGAGTAGGGCAGTTTTGGTGGAGTGTAGGGAGCAGAAGCCGGACTGTAAAAGGTCGAGAAGGTTGTTGTCAGTGAGATGGGAGCTCAGGCGATTGAAGACTAAGCGTTCTAGGAGTTTAGAGGTAAATGGCAGTAGGGAGATGGGTCTTAGGTTGTTCAGGTCAGAGGGGTCCAGGGAGGGTTTCTTAAGTATGGGAGTGATGTGCGCGTGCTTTAGAGGGGAGGGGAAGGTACTGGTGGAGAGGGAAAGATTGAAGATGTGAGGGAGCATAGGATGGAGGAGGAGGGGGACCGCAGGAGTTGTGAGGGTACAGGGGGCAGGTGGTGAGGCGGGCTTCGGAGAAAGTCTTAGTGACCTCTTCGGTGGTAGTGAAGTCAAGAGAGCAAAGTGTTGATGGGGTTATTGTGTGAGGAGTGCTAAGTGGGGTGGGTGTCTGAGCAGTGGCGAAGTCCCTACGAATTGCGTCCATCCTGTTTTTGAAGTGGTTGGCGTCAATCCTGTTTTTGAAGTGGTTGGCAATCTCGTGGGCGGTAAGTGAGGTACTTGGTGGAGGTGGAGGCGGAGAAAGTAGAGAGAGTTAAAAGTGGAGAAAAGTTGGCGAGAACTGGAGGAGAAGGTATTATTGAGGGTAATAAAGTAGGCTTGTTTGGCAGCGTGAAGGGAGGAAGTGTATGTTAAGAAGGCAGATTTATAGCGGGTGAACGCTTGTTGGGATTTGGTTTTACGCTGTAGTCACTCCAGAGCACGATTATGTCGTTTGAGGTTTCTGGTGTGGTCGGTCTGCCAGGGTTGTAGCGGTCGGGGCCTAATGCTTCATGTTGTTGGGGGTTCGAGCGAGTCTAAAGCGGCTGAAAGCTTGGACCCTCTTTTTCCAGACAGATAGAATGTTTCTCTGCAGAGGTCTGGAATGGAACTGCATAAGGACCTGCCTCAAATGAAGACACCATCTTCCCCAGCACCCTCATGCAAAGGTGTACAGCTCTTTCCTTGGGGCAGGAAAACGTTTGCTTGAACCTTATCTAGGATCATCCCTAAGTACTCCAGGCTTTGAACTGGCTCCAAAGCTGACTTTTCGACATTTATAACCCAGCCTAAACTTTCCAGAAACCTTACTGCAAGAAGAAAATTCTGCCTTAGACCTAGAACCAACTGCTCTCTGAGCAATAGATCATCCAAATATCCTAACACCGATACTCCCTCAGTTCTTAGCATGGCCAACACTGGAGCAAGAATTTTTGTGTATACTTGGGGTGCTGTGGCAAGCCCGAAAGGCAGAGCCACAAACTGAAAATGGCAACTTTCTAATGCAAACCACAGGAAACTGATGAGGCTGTAAATTGGCACATGCAAGTAGACATCTTTGATGTCTATGGATGCTAGAAAGTCCCCCGCTTGTAGTGAAGCTACCACTGAGGAGACTAATTCCATCCAAAAAGGATGAACGTTTAAAAACTGGTTCAACACCTTGAGATCTAGGATAGGCCTTACATTCCTGTTCGGGTTAGGAACCGTGAACAGGTTTGAGTGGAAGCCCTTCAACCTGTCACTTAACGGTAGCTCCACAACTCCACAATTACTCCCTGAAACAACCTCGAGTGCTTGAAACAAGGAATTCCTTTTTTGTTGATTTGTGGGTATGTTGGATCTCAAAAAATGGAGAGGGGGCCTTGTCCTGGACCACCACTCTCCAGGCACTTGGACAAAAATAGAAGTCACAAGTGGGGGCGCCCCTTCATAAGAAGGACTTAGTATCTGCCTTAGAGGATTTTTAAACTCAGGGCTTCTTCTGCCACTAGCCTTGCAACTTTCCTCTAGTACCAGATGCTTGTGGGCACCTAAACTGTCCGAAGAACAAAGTACTAATCACCGAGGCTCCAGACCCCTTAAAGGGCGGAAGCTTAGTCTTTCTCTTTAATGCCAGAAGCGCACTCTTCACCCCCCCCCCCCCCGAGATTTTTATATTTATCCAAATCCTTGCCAAACAGGCATTCCCCATGAAAAGGAAACCCAGTTAGCAATTTTTCGCAAGGCAATTCAGCTGACCAGCTTTTCATCCACAAGATTCTGCGCGTTTGTTCAAGGAAAAGGAAGCAATTTAACCAATCACAAAACCTGCTGTATTGAATCTTACAAGGCAACTACCGCAAAGCATAAAGCACAAGGTAAATCTGCCATATCCTCAGCAGACTCTACTTCCTGCCCAGGAGGATTCCTAAGCAACTGTTTAACACGGTCTTTCAGGGACTGACAGACTCCAATTGCTGCCACAGACGGCTGTGCAACAGACCCATCGAGAGTAAAGGAAGCTTTTTGCAAAGATTCAAACTTATCAGCTGGGTCTTTAAACACTTGAGCATTGTCCACTAGACAAGTCAAATTTTTATTCAGGGAAGAAACGGCAGTGTCCACAACCAGCATGGTCCATTTATTAACACATTTCTCCTCCATAGGATACAGAAGTGAAAATCTTTCAGGAGGTAAAAAAAATCTATCCAAGTTCTCCCATTCTGCACTGATCACCTGCTCCAACAGCACGTGCAGAGGAAAAGCCTGGGAACACTGTGGAGGCTGTAATGACCCCAGAGAGGAGTAGGAAACCTCAGAGGCCTCTTGAATCCAGAGCGGACCATTCCTGTAGAAGGTTGAACCAACAACCTCTGGGACTGAGATGCAGACACTACCTGACCCTCCTAAGGAACTGACCCTTCAGAAGTGGAGTCCTCTGCTTGGTCCTCCTCTAATTCATCAATAGCCTCTTACTCAGCCTCCTCTACCCATTCTTGCTCCAACACAGGAGGTTCAGGGGAGGGGAATCTTTCACGCTTTTTACCTCCCTGTGTAAAAAGAAGCAATCATGCCAGCAATCTTATTCTCTAAACCAGCCAATGCTGATGCTAAAACATCTTTAGTAACGTTAACCGAAGTGGATGCACCAATCATTGCCACAATTTCAGACAATCACAGTGGCTCAGATTGGCCTGTGCCTTCTGATCTTTCAGGGGAAGCTACCATAGTGCAACATCGACTAGGTTCCTCAGGACCTGGTGGAGAAGCACTGCGCCCCTTCCTGCTGTGTTCCCCCCCACTCTGCTTTCTGGAAGACATTACTCACTCCAAGTAAACTGCCAATACTGTTATACTTGTGACAAATGATACTTGCTCTCCTAGCAGATTACTCCCATTAGATTTAGGCTGTGAGCCAGCTAACAACAGTGATCACAGCCCAAACTGCCAGAAGCACACTAATTAAGCCCCCAGTCTGGTCTGGCCACCAGTACCATGCACCCAAACTCATGTGACCAGCAGAATAGCCTGCTCTGTGTCCCTCTCCTGCCACTGACCATTCACGTGTATGCAGATACCCCCTAAGAAAGATGGCTTCCTGCCGCTTCCAGCCACCACTGCGCATGTGTGGGCATACCTCATGCACACCCACCGTGGCCACACGCACTCCCGTGACTGTGCAGGTGCCCTGCAGCTCAAATAGCCAGCTACTCCTCCCCTCATCCACTTGCTAATAGCAGCGGTCAACTAGAGAGGTGGCCAAATTAAGCAGATGGGACCGCATAATGGATGTAGTGCAACAAGAAAATGCCACCTTTTAACTTAATTCACTCCACCTAGGAACACAGAGTTGGCTTCTCCGCTTCCCTCTTGTGGCCAAGACTGTGAACAGGCTCTGTGCTTTTGTATAAAAAAAAAAATGGGCAGCCATAGTTATAAATGAAAGCTATGGTATAACGGTTTGTCTCTACAACACATCATAAACAAAATATGTTTTCTCCTTAGCTTCATATCTCTCTTTTCCTTTTTCAAGAAAAAAGAAGAGGGAGCAAACTCGCCAACCTCGTCGCAGGATTTTGTCCACAGACAAAAAAAATCCAATTTTCACCCGTCACGGTGTCCTTTTGTCATAAAAGACCCTCATGGACTTGGCCCCCTGTCTTTTCCTGGGGACCCTGCCTCAGACCTGTATAGTACCCTGCCGGAAACACCTTGGTCAGATAACAACTGCACAGCACCGTAAGGCCTTACTACAGCCAATCCCTGAGTCTACCATCTTCTCAGCAGAGTATTTTAGCATCCAGCCATCCGAATGGATCTGATTATGCAGTCCCTTGATTCTTTATTAGAACTTTTTTGAGACTGGTGGTACTCTTACAGAGAGTGACCATCACCTTCAAGACACTGATGAAAAAACTGAGGGACTTCCTGTGTAGGAAGGGTTGTATAGGGGAGAACTTCCTGTCAGTGTTTTTTTGTCTGTCGGTGTCCATTCACCTATAGGTGGCCCATAACCCTGATAGTCATGTTTATAGCCTGCTCTGTGTCCCTTGATGAACAGTAAAGATATACATTTGCTGGTCTGTTCCAAACTGAGCAAGAAAACCGAGTAATCAAACCAACTTGGTTACTGTAGACCACACCATAGTACTTGTCTGTTCTGTAAATGTTTTATCTGACTTCCAAAATATCTATTGATGTCTAGGTGTATGAAATATGCCCTCTATTTTTACAGATTTGTCAGATCAGTGAAATTGCTTTCATTGAAGATCTGCCTTTCCTCCATGTTCTGAATCTTCTAAAGAATCCAGTACAGGTGAGTACCGTGGCTACAAATGTCACAGATTTCCACCAATAGATACTTCTTTTAAGGGAAACCTGTGTTGAGAGAATATGGAGCCTGTTGTTTCTGACAAGAAAATGCTACTTATCTAGCCGTTAAACTGGACCACATAGTCTTTGCCATGAAACAAGCGTTCAAGTGTAAATTGTGAACTTCTGATCTGCATTCCTGTTGTGGGTCAGCAACTCGAAAAGTACTGAAGTCATTAGAGCAGCATGGCAGCCAGGCAACTAATATTACAGTTGTTGAAAACAGGTGTGCACATGGGTAATGATGATGTCATTGATGATTATGATGTACAGTAATTGATGCACCAATGATGATGTAATTGATGATTATGATGCTGTTATCGATGATGATGTAATCGATGATGTAATTGACATGTCATCTATGCATTCTGTATGCAGGCCATCTAATTGGCTGACCAACTAATCAGTAAGCACAATGTATACGTCCCCCACTCACTCTGATGGGAATACATTAGACCTTGTTTTCTCCCATCTTTGCACTCCCTACAACCTCACAAACACCCCCTTTCCTCTCTCTGATCACAATCTCATCACCTTCACAGTCTCCTCATCTTCAAACACCTATCCCTCCGAACAGCAAACAATTACCCAAAGAAACCTTCACATTTTGAACCCTGCTCCTTTGCAGTCTGCAACTGACCAACTCAATGAAAGAATCTCTCCTCTGTCCTGCCCTGACCTGGCCACTGCTGTTTATAACAGTTCGCTTTCATCCGCATTAGACTCGCTTGCTCCTCTAACAACACAAAGCATCAGGCCCCGACTGTTACAACCTTGGCAGACTGACCACACCAGAAATCTTAAACAACATAGTCGTGCGCTGAAGCGATTGTGGCGTAAAACCAAATCCCACCAAGCTTTCACCCGATATAAATCTGCTTTCTTAACATACAATTCCTCCCTTCATGCTGCCAAACAAGCCTACTTTGTCACTCTTAATAATACCTTCTCATCCAGTCCTCGTCGTCTCTTCTCTACTTTTAACTCTCTTCTCTCCACCTCCACCCAGTACCTCACTCACTGCTCATGAGATTGCAAATCATTTCAAGAACAAGATTGACGCAATTCGTAGGGGCGTCGCTACTGCACAGACATCCATCCCACTTAGCATACATTATACTAAACCTCCCTCAACACTTTCCTCTTTTGACCTCGCCACTACCGAAGAGGTCACTAAGGTTTTCTCAGAAGCCTTTCTCACTACCTGCCCCCTGGATCCTGTCCCCTCACAACTGCTACGGTCACCCTCTTCTTCCATCCTATGCACCCTCACTCACATCTTCAATCTTTCCCTCTCTACTGGTACCTTCCTCTCCCCTCTAAAGCATGCGCACATCACTCCGATACTTAAAAAGCCCTCCCTGGACCCCACCGACCTGAACAACTTAAGACCCATCTCCCTGCTGCCATTTACCTTTAAACTCCTAGAACGCTTAGTCTACAATCGCCTGAGCTCCCACCTCACCGACAACAACCTTCTTGATGCTTTACAGTCTGGATTTCGCTCTCTACACTCCACTGAAACTGCCCTACTAAAACTCACTAATGATCTACTAACTGCTAAAACCAATGGCCACTACTCCGTACTCTTACTACTTGCCCTCTCTGCGGCTTTTGATACGGTTGACCATCCCCTCCTCCTCAAAAATCTCCACTCTCTTGGCTTCAAAGACTCTGCTCTCTCCTGGTTCTCCTCCAACCTATCGCAGCGCTCCTTCAGTGTTACCTATAACGCTGCCTCCTCCTCTTCACTCCCTCTTTCTGTAGGGGTCCCTCAAGGTTCTGTCCTTGGACCCCTTCTCTTCTCCATCTAGCCCTCCTTCCTTGGTCACTTGATAAACTCCCACGGCTTTAAGTACCATCTCTATGCTGATGACACACAAATTTATCTTTCTACCCCTCATCTCACCCCTTCAGTCTCCACTCGCATTACTAACCTACTAAGTGACATATCAGCATGGATGTCACTCCACTTCCTCAAACTCAATCTTTGCAAAACTGAGCTCTTAGTATTCCCTCCAGCCCGTGCCCCCTCCCCTGACTTCTCCATCAAGATCAATAACACAATCATCAGTCCCTCTTCTCATGCCAGTGTACTAGGTGTAACCCTAGACTTCCATCTGTCCTTTCAGCCCCAAATCCAATCACTGTCCAAATCTTGTAGACTTCACCTCCGCAACATCTTCAAGATACGACCGTTCCTAACCTCGGAAACCACTAAGCAACTTATTCACTCCCTTGTCATATCTCGCCTTGACTATTGTAACTCCCTCCTCATTGGCCTACCTCATCACAGGCTATCCCCTCTTCAGTCTATCATGAATGCTGCTGCCAGACTCATCCACCTTACTAACCGTTCTGTATCAGCCACCCCTCTCTGCCAATCTCTCCACTGGCTTCCCGTTGCCCAACGGATAAAATTCAAAACACTAACAATAACGTATAAAGCCATTTATAACTCTGCCCCAAATTACATCACCGATCTTGTCTCTAAATATCACCCAAACCGTACTCTCCACTCCTACTACAAGACCCCCTACTCTCTAGCTCCCTTGTCTCCTCCTCCCATGCTCGTCTCCAGGACTTCTCCAGAGCTTCCTCCATCCTCTGGAATTCTCTACCCCAATTTATCAGACTATCGCCTACTCTGTCACTTTTAGGCGATCTCTGAAAACCTATCTCTTCAGGAAAGCCTATCCTACCCTCAGCTGGAATCTTCTACTCTTCCAACCAGTCCATCCCCCACAGTTACTACCTTTTGTACCACTAGCCCCTCCCTCTTAGATTGTAAGCTCCAAGGAGCATGGCCCTCAAATCCCTCTTGTATTGAACTTTATTGTTACTGTATTGTCTCCCGTTATATTGTAAAGCGCTGAGCAAACTGTTGGCGCTATATAAATCCTGTATAATATTAATAATAATACAAATCGTTGATAACTATTTTATAATCTATTATGCCGATCAGTTGTTTCAGCCCTAATGGCATTGTCATAATTATTGATGAAATCATCAATGACATCATTCTCTTCTATGACATCATCATGAACAATGACATTGATGATATCGAAGAGAATTATGTCATCGATGGTGTCATAAACAATAATTTATGATGATATCATCAATGATGATATTGGTGACAATGATATGATTGATGTCATTGATGATATTGGTGACGATGTGATTGATAGTGTCATCAATGACATTGATGATGATGTCATTGATGATTGTGATGAAGTCATCAACGCCGATGATGTAATTGACTTTGAATATGATGACGGCATCAATGATGTCACGGATGATTATGGTATCAATCATGATGATGATATTGATCTTTATGATGTCATAGACAATGTCATTGATTATACCAATATTGATCATGATGGTGTCATTGATGATGATCATGTCATCGATTTGTCAGAGCAAGATGGGCAGCAAACTTGGCAGTTGAAGGGCTGAGACAAACCATTTAACACTGAAAGGGGTGCTTGCCATTGTAAACTTTTATTTCTGTAAACCTTTTATCCCAAAAGGAAAAAAAAAATTGTTGCTGTAGCTTCCCAAATGTGTTAACTGAAGTTGAATTTTTTTAGTCAAGTCCATCTAACACTGCCCTCTCCAGACAAAGGGGCCTCGGTGTGAAAAAAAAAAATAGCCAACAGCCAGGATTTTTAATGTAGAAGGCCACTTTCACACTGCAGCCTTATCAAGTCTGCCTGTTAATTTTTTCAGGTGGACCTGATCAGACAGGCCTTTTACCTATATGGACTGGTGGGTGTAAGTGGAGTTTCTTAAAAAAACTAACACTGTGGGAGCTAGAGAGGTTTTTACTCATCTGTACTCATACTCAACTTTTCGTGTGTATACTCATCTTTACTTAAGGTCATTGCACACAGCCTTTAATCAGGATCTTTCTGTAAACAAGATCCTGAGTTTATGCCTCCTTACTCGGTGCTGCTTTACTGGTCTTTACTCAGCAGTGTGCATTGTGTCATAGACAGCAATGCATCTGATTAGAGATCAGTAAAAGACAAGGTGTTATTTTACTCCCATGTGCAAGAGGCCTATTGTCAGGGAATGCCTGAATGATTAATTTAGTCAACTAAATTGATCAAATCGCAGTGCTTCCAAAAATAATTTTTAAAAATAACTTAACTGACTTAATTATTTTGAGTTAATTTTAGCCAATCAGAAGTCTTTTAAATAACACAACAGTTTGGTGTATGGACTGGAGATTATGAAAATAAATTAACCAGTTTGACTGCACAGCATTTTGTTTTGTTTTGCATACATGTAAAAATCTTAGAATATCTCGGAATATTATACCCTCAAAATATTATATATTTTCTGAAAGCAGAGGCCCTGTAGGATAAAACAGTGATAATGGAGGTCTTACTCTCTTTATTTTCCCAGTGTTGAGACAATGGCAAGCTCTGGTCACGGAGGATGTCAGTTGTTTCATCCACAAGAATCACAATGCAGTGGTCTTTCCCAATACAAAAGATTAATCTCTTCTTGATCAAATAGTGTTTGTTAGTTCATAAATATATCTTAGTCTCAAGGTGCTAAAAGATTCTCTCCAGGTGTGTACAGGTGTGTATACTAAACAGTCCATTGTCCAGAGACTACAAGGAATCGGAGCTAAATGGATCAAGACTTCACTTTTTACCTCCGTTTTCATATCTGTTTACATCTGGTTTTTATCCATTTACATCCCCTGACCCACTGTCTGGATAGTGCTGATTGGCCCTGTGCTGATCACATGCACTCTCCCAAGAAAAAAAAAAAACTCTCTAGCAATACACACTGACTGAGCATGTGCAGCTTGCCCCTAAGGCTCTGTTCTGTCTGCAGATGGATTGGGGACAGTAAAAGAAGGGAGGATTACATAGGATCAAAGAGCCTTTTTACACAATGCAGAGGATTAAATCCTTAGGTTCCACACTGAGTATAACAAGCATGCTTTACTGCATATACAGACTCCTTTTACTGTTGTGTGTTTAGCAACACTTTATGTGTCCACAACTTTGTTTGTAGACTAAATTGTTCCAGTTGAAAACAACAGAATATCTCTGATGGACCCTGAGACCTAAAAGTGACCCTGAATCTTAGGGCTTATTTGGTTTTAAAACTTCCATGGTTCAAACAGGGTAAATTATGAAAATACGATTTATTTCCCCCCATAGAAATTCTAACCGCATAATGCTGTTTATGTGCTTTGTATGATGTGTGATAGGATGAGAAGTAAGAGCTTGTTCACACTTGGTTTTCTTTCTGAAGAGTGATCCATATGCAGATCACTTTTCAGAGAGCATTTGAGGCAGTGAGGAGGCTTTGTATCTTCTCCATGCCGTCTTCTTTAACTCATAGAACCCTGCACAAGCACGCCAGGGTGGTTGCAGAGCTGCCCCATTCACTTGAATAAGTCATGTTTGGCGGGGGTCATAGAATCTGCTATGATATATGTATGCCTCCAGCCACTGCCTCTGCAGCTAATGCGGGTAATGGTTGCGGGGCAGTAAAAGCCATGGTTCAACTGTAGAGTTTTACTACTCCCTAGCTAGTGTGAAGGAGCTCTTAGTCACTTGATTTTGACAGGTCTTGTGACTGGGCTCCCCTTCCTTCATCAGTTAGTTTTATCTTTTTATTAAAAATTATCGTAGCTACACTTGTTTAGAGTTCCACAACCAGCACAGCATCATGCACATTTGTAATGCACAAAGGCATGCTTTATAATTGTGCCAGCTATTTGGCCACATCTTTATAACTGGGTCTCTTAGGGAGCTTCATTATTTGCTTGTTTTTTTTTTGTTGTCAATACCCCAGTGCCAGAAACTAACAGGTCTAGGCTTCCAGGGCAAGGCATAATGAAAACATGTAGATTTATTGATTGGGGCAATCTGGCAGAGATCATTTTTCCTAACTTTGCCAGAGTGTACACCCAGTTGTAACAAAGCGATAAAAATGTAAGTACATAGTTTGTTGCAAACTAAGCTTCTTTGAGCTTGATAAAATAGTCTCCTGTGATTAATATGTCTATGTGTTGCTATACATTATTTTGTACTTTGTGCTCTGCTGAACATGTTTGATTTCTTGTATGAGTTTAGCATTTATATCAGTTATCTGTAATAAAATATTTGATTTATCATGAAGTATCTTTGCGTGTCTGTTGCAGGAACAAGCTGAATACTGTCTGTCAGTGCTGTTTATGCTGCAAAGATTAACAGAATTGGATATGAATAAGATCAAAGTTGAGGAGAAGGTATTTATCTTAGCACCTGCTTTCCACCTGACTTCCCAGAGCAATCAGTGTTGCCAAGTAATTACACTGGTGACTCAGTCCAGGGAATATAGCTGATCCTTGGGGAATTACACGCATGGCACCATGAAAGACATCTTGGCACAGAGTGTATCTACTGAATGTCATTCTTGACCCAATAATTAAAAAAAAAAAATATTGTAATAGTCATTATGTTTATGAATACCCTGCCTTTTCTGATTTTTTTTTTGTTTTGTTTTTTTTTTTTTATACAACCTTGTGATTGCGGTTGCGCACATATTCACTCTAGAGCAGTGATGATGAACCTTTTAGAGACCGAGAGCCCAACCTGCAACCCAAAACCCACTTATTTATCACAAAGTGCCAACACTGCAATTAAACCTGAATACTGAGGCTTTAGTTTATAAAAAAACAACCCATACATTAACATATATGTTTACTGCTGCTCAAGGTAGAGAGACTCCCGATCTCCAAGCACAACTCCTCCTGTAGGTGCTAGCCCAGCTTGTGTGCTGTATAGATGAGAACAAAGAAAGTCCTATCGGCTGCACTCCAGACAATCCACTTTATTGAACCAAGATAAAACCAATACAGACAGTGGAAATACAGTGGGGGACTGGCAGGTAAACACGTTTCACACTAAAGACCGTGCTTATTCATTACCCACGTGTCACCTCCACTGACCACCAGCACAGGGGGGCAAAGTTCCACTGACCAGCAACACAAGAAGGCAAAGTTCCACTGACCACCAGCACAAGGGGCAAAGGTCCACTGACCACTAGCACAAGAGGGCAAAGGTCCACTGACCACCAGCACAAGGGGGCAAAGTTCCACTGACCAGCAACACAAGAGGGCAAAGTTCCACTGACCACCAGCACAAGGGGCAAAGGTCCACTGACCACTAGCACAAGAGGGCAAAGGTCCACTGACCACCAGCACAAGGGGCAAAGTTCCACTGACCACCAACACAAGGGGGCAAAGTTCCACTGACCACCAACACAAGGTGGCAAAGTTCCACTGACCACCAACACAAGGGGGCAAAGTTCCACTGATCACCAAAACAAGGGGCAAAGTTCCTCTGACCACCAGCACAAGGGGACAAAGTTCCACTGACCACCAGCACAAGGAGGCAAAGTTCTACTGACCACCAACACAAGGGGGCAAAGTTCCACTGATCACCAAAACAAGGGGGCAAAGTTCCTCTGACCACCAGCACAAGGCGACAAAGTTCCACTGACCACCAGCACAAGGAGGCAAAGTTCCACTGACCACCAGCACAAGGGGCAAAGGTCCACTGACCACTAGCACAAGAGGGCAAAGGTCCACTGACCACCAGCACAAGAGGGCAAAGTTCCACTGACCACCACCAACACAAGGGGGCAAAGTTCCACTGACCACCAACACAAGGTGGCAAAGTTCCACTGACCACCAACACAAGGGGGCAAAGTTCCACTGATCACCAAAACAAGGGGGCAAAGTTCCTCTGACCACCAGCACAAGGGGACAAAGTTCCACTGACCACCAGCACAAGGAGGCAAAGTTCCACTGACCACAAGCACAAGCTAAAAATCTTGTGTTAATAAAAACAAATGTATTAAAAACTCCCAGCCAGTCCAATATACTGTATATATCCTTGGCAGCGCACAGACCGGCCATGCGAAAGCTCAGACGAGTCTTGGCTAATGAGTCGCAGCTCTTGACGTCATCGCCTGGCATCGCTACTCCTTTCCGAGCATGCGCATGGCCCCTGGTGAACTGTTATCTGATGCTTGGCTGCTGGGGTGATGCTGCGGTGTTTTGGCTCATCTGCAGAAAGAGAAGGCTCTGTGTGCCCGCTGCCATAGGCTCGCCACCACTGCTCTAAAGCCTCAACTGAAAAATAATATTAACCCCTCCATAATGAAGGTAAAACACGTCCTAACATCTGAACACAGCTCTGCAACTTTTTGTGTTAGTAAAAAACTGTTCATTTTATTTGCAACTACTATATCCTTATGATTTTCTGCCACCTGTTCTGTTCCTAGCAATCATATGTAAAGTAAACCAAGGCATCTTTTGAAGTCATACTGATACCTAATAGAACAGGTAATGATGATGCTTTTAAACTGGTGACGGAGGTATGGGAACATGGGCTGTATTAAGAGCCCACTCACACAAACAAGCTGCTGTTAGTTTTACCATGCAGCAAGGGAGCTGCTTCTGTGCATCGCATTGTATGTATGTGTATGTATGTGTGTGTGTGTGTGTGTGTGTGTGTGTGTATGTGTGTGTATATATATATACATTCAGGTCCATAAATATTGGGACATTGACACAATTCTAACATTTTTGGCTCTATACACCACCACAATGGATTTGAAATGAAACGAACATGATGTGCTTTAACTGCAGACTGTCAGCTTTAATTTGAGGGTATTTACATCCAAATCAGGTGAACGGTGTAGGAATTACAACAGTTTGCATATGTACCTCCCACTTGTTAAGGGACCAAAAGTAATGGGACAATTGGCTTCTCAGCTGTTCCATGGCCAGGTGTGTGTTATTCCCTCATTGTCCCAATTACAATGAGCAGATAAAAGGTCCAGAGTTCATTTCAAGTGTGCTATTTGCATTTGGAATCTGTTGCTGTCAACTCTCAAGATGAGATCCAAAGAGCTGTCACTATCAGTGAAGCAAGCCATCATTAGGCTGAAAAAAACAAAACAAACCCATCAGAGAGATAGCAAAAACATTAGGCGTGGCCAAAACAACTGTTTGGAACATTATTAAAAAGAAGGAACGCACCGATGAGCTCTGCAACACCAAAAGACCCGGAAGACCACGGAAAACAACTGTGGTGGATGACCAAAGAATTCTTTCCCTGGTGAAGAAAACACCCTTCACAACAGTTGGCCAGATCAAAAACACTCTCCAGGAGGTAGGTGTATGTGTGTCAAAGTCAACAATCAAGAGAAGACTTCACAAGAGTGAATACAGAGGGTTCACCACAAGATGTAAACCATTGGTGAGCCTCAAAAACAGGAAGGCCAGATTAGAGTTTGCCAAACGACATCTAAAAAAGCCTTCACAGTTCTGGAACAACATCCTATGGACAGATGAGACCAAGATCAACTTGTACCAGAGTGATGGGAAGAGAACAGTATGGAGAAGGAAAGGAACTGCTCATGATCCTAAGCATACCACCTCATTAGTGAAGCATGGTGGTGGTAGTGTCATGGCGTGGGCATGTGTGGCTGCCAATGGAACTGGTTCTCTTGTATTTATTGATGATGTGACTGCTGACAAAAGCAGCAGGATGAATTCTGAAGTGTTTCGTGCAATATTATCTGCTCATATTCAGCCAAATGCTTCAGAACTCATTGGACGCAGCTTCACAGTGCAGATGGACAATGACCCAAAGCATACTGCAAAAGCAACCAAAGAGTTTTTTAAGAGAAAGAAGTGGAATGTTATGCAATGGCCAAGTCAATCACCTGACCTGAATCCGATTGAGCATGCATTTCACTTGCTGAAGACAAAACTGAAGGGATAATGCCCCAAGAACAAACAGGAACTGAAGACAGTTGCAGTAGAGGCCTGGCAGAGCATCACCAGGGATGAAACCCAGCGTCTGGTGATGTCTATGCGTTCCAGACTTCAGGCTGTAATTGACTGCAAAGGATTTGCAACCAAGTATTAAAAAGTGAAAGTTTGATTTATGATTATTATTCTGTCCCATTACTTTTGGTCCCTTAACAAGTGGGAGGCACATATGCAAACTGTTGTAATTCCTACACCGTTCACCTGATTTGGATGTAAATACCCTCAAATTAAAGCTGACAGTCTACAGATAAAGCACATATTGTTAGTTTCATTTCAAATCCATTGTGGTGGTGTATAGAGCCAAAAATGTTAGAATTGTGTCGATGTCCCAATATTTATGGACCTGATTGTGTATATATATATATATATATATAGTTTTTTTTTTTTTTTTTTTTTTTTCCATAATTGGAAGTGTACAAAGCATAGCAATGCATTTTTCTGCATAGCTATGTGAACTGATCACAACTATGTGCCCTTCCAGATGCCTGCAGTGAAGAAAAACGCAGGTCCCTGCACAGGGTGGGAAGGAGCCCTAACACTGTGCATACACAATGCAACTTTCTTGTGAGATTATAGAATTGGAAACATGTAGTATGTTTGAATACACAAATTGGCAGGGCTATAAATAGAAATGAATATAGGAGTTATCTTTGGGTAGCCTGTTTTATCCAATATTAATATTGCCCTTCTCCCTGGACATTGCTCAGGTGGCAGCAGTGAATAAGTATGATCCTCCACCAGAGGTCATTGCTGCAAGGGATCATATGGCCAATGTTATGTACAGCACGATCCAGCCACAAAAGATCATGGACAGGTAATTTCAGTGGTGTTAATATCTCAAATGCTATAATGTGTTATTATTGATTTAATAATAGTGTCTCGTGTTAAAGTACATAGCTCATGAGAGAAATGTCTGTGGTGACATTGCTGTTTTTCACTTAAAATGCTAATTGGTTATGTCTGGTTACAATATTTTTAAATCATTGACCCGAGACAAGCATGCAAAAAATTAAATCTAGAAATTTAAAGAGGATCTCCAGGGTTTTTGCAAAAAATAAGTCAGCAGCTACACATACTGTAGCTGCCGACTTTTAATAAAAGGACACTTACCTGTCCAGGGATCCAGCGCTGTCCACACCTGGGCCAGTTCTTCTACGTTTTTTGGGTCCCTGGCTCCGGCATGTTTAGTGTAGGAAGTTGGCTGTGACCCATGTGGTTTCACAGCCAGCTTCCTATTGTGCATTCGCGAACCACGTTGTGCTGCAGAGTGGTCCTGCAGCCTTATGGGAACTGTGACGCTGCTGGTGGGGTGGGGGGTGGGGGGTTAGTGGGTGATCTGATGGAAGTGGGAATTCTGAAGTGGGAATTCTGAAGGAATTGTGTTCACAGTAGCATTTGCATAGGCAGAGCAGAGTAGGACTGGCCATTATTATGTATTGCAATATGTGTGAACTAAATATCCCTATTTATTGCATAGTCTGCTTGAAAGGGTATATACCAGTGTGCAGAGGGTCCTTCAGAATTTCTAGTGTTAATATGTGGTTGCACCCCTTTAGCACCTGATGGAAAAATGCATGCACTAGCTGTTGGGATTTGAGCACAGGTATCTCTTGTTTGTTGTATTGCTGGGTCAGTAGCCAGACCTGAACCTTGTAGCTCTCCCCCACTTTGTCTTTTCCCCTATGTTAGTATTGTGTCCACAGTAGCATTTGTGTAGGCAGAGCAGAGTAGGACTGGCCATAGAGGGATTACTTTGACGCAGTTGGCCAGCATAAGCATGTATTTCAATATGTCTGAACTAAATATCCCTATTTATTGCATAGTCTGCTTGAAAGGGTATATACCAGTGTGCAGAGGGCCCTTCAGAATTTCTAGTGTTAATATGTGGTTGCACCCCTTTAGCACCTGATGGATAAATGCATGCACTAGCTGTTGGGATTTGAGCACAGGTATCTCTTGCTTGTTTTTCTGATGGAAGTGGGAGCACATACCTACCAAAACTACCTGTCATTTTGTTTTAAATAACAAGCAAGTCTCTACCTGCCTGCATATAGAAATGCACAAAGAGGACCCGGACCTCCTCTTCTCGGGTCCCCCCCCCCCCCCCGCCCACTTGGCTCCTCCTCTTTGGCAAGTGCCCCCAATAGGAAGCCGCTTCCCATGAGGGCACTCGTGCGGGCTGCATCCATTGACACAGACAGCGGGACCCGCCCCCTGCTCCTTCGTCACTAGCTTTGATTGACAGCAGTGAGTGCCAATGGCTCCCACTACTTCAGCAAAGCCTGTGAGACCTGGAAGAGAGGGAAGAGAAGAACTGCAGACATGCACAGCACTGGATCGAATGAGAGCTCAGGTTAGTATAAGGGGGATGAAGGGCCAATACCGATATCTAAACATTTTTTACTTTAATGCAAATAATGTATTAGGGTAAAAATTGTATAGGCTCTAAAACCAAGTCTATAATCTATACCTTTATAGCTGTTCTGTGTCAGCAGCTGAGAAAGCATCAGAGCCAGAGCTTTAGCATGACAGTCAGGCAGCAAACATTCTCAGAAGGCCAGGTCAGCAGTGTCAGCCTAAATATTTATCTCATGACAGGTTGCCTTTGAACCCTCACATAATGTACTGCAATGACAAAACATTTACATTTTCTATTTGAACTATGCAAATATGTAGTCTGCAATGACACACTACAGAAGGTCAGTTTTTAATTTCATCAAACTGTTGTGAACACTGCAATATATATATATATATATATATATATATATATATATATATATATAATGTGTTTTATTTTTAAATATAGTTGTATAGACTCAGGTCAAATGTTCTCTACATATATAAAATATATATATTGCCTATTTACTCTCATTCCCAAGTTCCTCATGTGCAGTTTTAGTAAAGGTTTGACATATGTCTACAAATCACACTGACAAGCCAACCTCTTGTGTTGCAGCACATTACCCAATTTGGATACCCCCTATCCCATGCTAGTGCTGACAGGGCCCCAGTCCTGTGGGAAGCGCGAGTTAGCACATAGGATGTGCAGAGAGTTCAAGGAGTTCTTCCGCTATGGGTAAGATATATCCATCTGCCATAGGACACAGTGTGCTTTCAATTACAAGGAGATGTTAAGTGCTTTACCATCCAGAGTAAAATCAAGCAAACCTTGTTAACATAGTGGTCTAGATAAAAAAGGGCTTTTGAAGTCATAATCCTAGTCATAAGCCCACAGGATTCACAGTGCTTTATCTCATGTAACAACCTTGCAGTAGTGTATTACACCTTAAACCTCTGTGGGAGAAAGCACATAGAGAATCTTAAAAATTAAATATGCATAAGGTAAGATCCACAAGAGAAATGAAAACCATTATAACAGTGACTATAACTGGATAGTTAATTGTAAAATGGAGAGATTCTATTCGCGCTTAGTTGAAGAATTCCATATTTTTAAATATTTGGCTAATTTTCAGAACCTATGCATATATAAAACGGTTTTGTAATGTGCAGCTTTGTATTCATGTAGTTCATTTCACTCTTTTATGATTGTATATTTTGCAGTATACTTAAATTTTAAAGTGTATGTGCCTCATTTTTTTTTAGATGGTGTTGTAAAGGATTAGAACCCCTGGTAAAGGTTTATTGTTGTCTGCGTCCCTCCAGTGTTGATTCAACCCCTCTATTTTTACAGCTGTCACCAGCACAGCAGGTCAGGGGGAATCTTCCATTAGGGTCACCTGTTCCAGTACTGTACTTTGTAAGTAAGGAAAACTCATCTACTGTATTTCCAGGACAGGAAGTAAAGGGATTTAAAATATTTAAAGGGACACAGACAGCAAAAAAAGAAAACACAAATTGACTGCAGTTTTAAATTACAGTAAACCTTTTGGGTTTTTTTAAATTTGTTTTTAATAACAAATATATAATACTTACCTGATCTGATTTTGCACAGAGCAGCCCTGATCCTCCTCTTCTGAGGTCCCCCGCCAATGCTTTTGGGTCCCTGCCCCTTCCAATTAACCCCCTAGCACACCTCCTGCTAAGGAAGATACTCGTGCAAGCTTGCTCCCGAGCCCCGCTGCCTGCGTCCATTAACACAGACAGCAGGGCTTTGCCCCGCCCCATCTCCTCATCATAGGATTTGATTGACAGCAGCAGGAGCCAATGGTTCCCACTGTTATCAATCTGTCCTGTGAGAGGAGGTAGAGAGCAGAGAGAGCCACTGCTATTGTGCAGAGCACTGAATCGAGATTGGGCTCAGGTACGTTTAAGGAGGGGGAGGGGAAGAGTAATCCTGGACATAGAAGGTTTTCTACCTTAATGCATTGAGGTTAAAAAAAAAATCTTAAGGCAACAAAAAAAAAATTTTCAGGCTTTAGAACCATTTCAATCCTTCCCCACTCAATCAAAAAAAGTTTTTTTTTCCTTGTGTATATTGTTTTTAATCGAATTTTCAAAAACTGATGACAATTTTGAAAATGGGATCACTGGCGGATTGCTTTTATACCATGTATATACAGTCAGGTCCATAAATATTGGGACATCGACACAATTCTAACATGTTTGGCTCTATACACCACTACAATGGATTTGAAATGAAACGAACAAGATGTGCTTTAACTGCAGACTGTCAGCTTTAATTTGAGGGTATTTACATCCAAATCAGGTGAACGGTGTAGGAATTACAACAGTTTACATATGTGCCTCCCACTTGTTAAGGGACCAAAAGTAATGGGACAATTGGCTTCTCAGCTGTTCCATGGCCAGGTGTGTGTTATTCCCTCATTATCCCAATTACAATGAGCAGATAAAAGGTCCAGAGTTAATTTCAAGTGTGCTATTTGCATTTGGAATCTGTTGCTGTCCACTCTCAAGATGAGATCCAAAGAGCTGTCACTATCAGTGAAGCAAGCCATCATTAGGCTGAAAAAACAAAACAAACCCATCAGAGAGATAGCAAAAACATTAGGCGTGGCCAAAACAACTGTTTGGAACATTCTTAAAAAGAAGGAACGCACCGGTGAGCTCAGCAACACCAAAAGACCCGGAAGACCACGGAAAAAACTGTGGTGGATGACTGAAGAATTCTTTCACTGGTGAAGAAAACACCCTTCACAAACAGTTGGCCAGATCAAGAACACTCTCCAGGAGGTAGGTGTATGTGTGTCAAAGTCAACAATCAAGAGAAGACTTCACCAGAGTGAATACAGAGGGTTCACCACAAGATGTAAACCATTGGTGAGCCTCAAAAACAGGAAGGCCAGATTAGAGTTTGCCAAACGACATCTAAAAAAGCCTTCACAGTTCTGGAACAACATCCTATGGACAGATGAGACCAAGATCAACTTGTACCAGAGTGATGGGAAGAGAAGAGTATGGAGAAGGAAAGGAACCGCTCATGATCCCAAGCATACCACCTCATCAGTGAAACATGGTGGTGGTAGTGTCATGGCATGGGCATGTATGGTTGCCAATGGAACTGCTTCTCTTGTATTTATTGATGATGTGACTGCTGACTAAAGCAGCAGGATGAATTCTGAAGTGTTTCGGGCAATATTATCTGCTCGTATTCAGCAAATGCTTCAGAACTTCATTGGACGCCGCTTCACAGTGCAGATGTGCAATGATTTTGACAGAGCGGCCTGACAATGACCCAAAGCATACTGCAAAAGCAACTAGAGTTTTTTAAGGGAAAGAAGTGGAATGTTATGCAATGGCCAAGTCAATCACCTGACCTGAATCCGATTGAGCATGCATTTCACTTGCTGAAGACAAAACTGAAGGGAAAATGCCCCAAGAACAAGCAGGAACTGAAGACAGTTGCAGTAGAGGCCTGGCAGAGCATCACCAGGGATGAAACCCAGCGTCTGGTGATGTCTATGCGTTCCAGACTTCAGGCTGTAATTGACTGCAAAGGATTTGCAACCAAGTATTAAAAAGTGAAAGTTTGATTTATGATTATTATTCTGTCCCATTACTTTTGGTCCCTTAACAAGTGGGAGGCACATATGCAAACTGTTGTAATTCCTACACCGTTCACCTGATTTGGATGTAAATACCCTCAAATTAAAGCTGGCAGTCTGCAGTTAAAGCACATCTTGTTCATTTCATTTCAAATCCATCGTGGTGGTGTATAGAGCCAAAAATGTTAGATATGTGGCGATAGCGCGATGTCCCAATATTTATGGACCTGACTGTAGATGCTGTTTATTATCATAGAACACATGTACATGCAAAAAAAGTGTGTGTGTGTGTGTGTGTATTATATATATATATATATATATATATATATATATATATATACACACACACACACTGTATATACAGCAGGACGCCATAAAAAAACAACTGTATACTGTTTCACCTGCCAAAGAAGTTATAATTCTGCTTAGTCAAACTTGTGATCTACACTCTTTTGCCACAAGGCATTGCTAGAGAAGGAACATGCCTAGTCTCTGGTACTGCCATGCAGTTTCCTATGTCAGCCCCCTACTTCAAGCCTGCTCACTGGGCAATAACTGAACATCATTACCGCAATGTAATTAGTAAGGTGATTGTCCAGGAAATAGTAGAGCAATTTTCCTGGTTCTGCAGTTTGGCATTTATTTATACATTTGACTGGAGTTCCACCTTACGTTTAAAAACTTTATACAAAATGGTGGAAAACATTTTGTAGGGTCAAATAATATCACATTTGCTGAAGGTTCCCATAGGTCTTGCAGGAGCTGCCAAGTCTGAGAATAACGGTTCCCCTGTGCTAAAAAAAATCAGTATGTATGGAAAAGACCAAAAACCTCACTGAATAAACGCATATGTTATAGAACATGAAATGTACACCTAAATATAACAGGCATTTTAATTAAATAAGAGGAAACTATGGCCCATTTAAATGCCTTTAAGTTTAAAATATTAGCAATGGATATTTATTGTCTGTTTATTTGGTTTGAAAAACAGGTGAAATTTAAAAAATAAACATTTATTATTGTGCTGTGGTCAATTTAGCTGTAATCCTACTGCAGTCTCACTTTTTACCACAGGGTGGCTCTTCTACTATGATGACCATGTTGTGTACAAAAAACATTCCTTCCTCTTTTTAGGGAACCCTGCAATAACTTGTAGAGCTATCATTTACAACATTGCTGTCCACAACGTGTCAATGAAAAGATATAGAAATCCCTTCTGCTGTTTGGTAGACAGTGGTTATGTACGTGTGTGTCTTAGGTTTTTTTTTTCAAAAGATACACACATTCTTTTTTCCCTTCTGTCAAATTTTCTATATGCAGTTCTAACTACCCTTCATGGTTTTTCTCAACTTCACAAAGTTATGAAGACAGCTGTAAAGACCAGGGTTTCACCTTGTTACGTGCACCCCTAAATGTACATTGATTGCTAGCACTTATTAAATGTGTATACATTTTTAGCACACAATCTGTTATCAGTGTTAACTTTATATACTAGCAGTGAATCACTCATGAAAAACATTCACAGGGTCTCTGTCCACTACACTCATACACACATGCATCATAAGCAGAGCCGGGTCACCCACAAGGCCATGTAGGTGGGCGCATTGATAACAGCAGGCCATTCTATGTCTAGCAAAACTGGTTTGGGCAGCTGTACAGCTTCTACCTGCCTCCCAGTCACAGCACTCAACGGGTTACTTTGTGAGCCCAGAAGTGCTAACTGGCTGTTTAGGATATAGAGCAGGAAAAAACTGGGGAAATACAGTGCTTGTGGGTGAAAATAGAGATACAATATTAAATCCAAGCAAACACAAGGAGAACATGCCTGGTGCATGCACGTAGTGACCCTGGATGGCATTAGATAATCCAGCAATAGGGTACTATCCTAAAAAGATTGCATAGTTACTTTGTAAATATGTTCCTTATTCATTATAGTTAGGACCATAAAAAAAAAAAAAAAAAAAAAATTAAATATACATATATGTATTTTTTTTTAAGGCTGAGTGGGTGTCAGCTTTCTTTTCTGTTCTCTTTAACTAGGTTATATAATACACTGCTTGGCAAATTTTCTTTGAATCTAGGAGCCAGCTAAAAAAGTTAGGAGCCAGTTGAG